GAAGAAGAAGAAGAAGAATGCAGAAGATGATTAATTGGTTCATTAATCTTCTTTGCAATTACACACCAATAGTCCTCTTGTCCTTTAGATAACCATCCTTTCGGCCTGTTAATGTGAAATGCCATGTTTCTTTCAGGGCACATAACAATGCCATTGCGGATTGCTGCTTCTCTTTGGATGGCCATTTTCTGTGCACAGCGGGGTGGGATGAAAATATCAAGTTATGGGATGTCCGTACGGGAGAATTCCGGTCTCATGGGCCTATTACTTTGGATCAAGGTCACATAGGCATTGTTGGCAGCTGTGAGTTTAGCAAAGACGGTGAGTTACGCAGGATGAATATTCTTAGCACCTGTCTACTGTCTTCTTTCTAACTATTCTGCTGTCCAACTGTCTTCCGTGGACCTCACCCCATTCCTAAGAGGTCCGTAAAGGGGGCGTGCATAAGCGCACCAGCGTGCCTTCCGTCCCTGTCCTACTGTCCCCATTAATTTATACTCATTTCCTTTGTTCATGCCCATGTTTGTACTTATACCTGTTATCTCGTACATGTTTGACCAACTAAATAAATAAAATGAATAAAATAAAAACACAGAGGGAAGCTTATTTCAGGCTGCCTCCCAGATTCACGCTTTCAACCGCTTTCTCGGGGCCATTAAATTACTGCTTCTATAATTTGAACTAAATTGAATTTGCATTGCCCTTTAATTAGCCTTATAAAACACTCTATAATTGATGCAGTTTTTATGATGTCCTACTTCTTTTTGCTCCCCGGGGAATAAAATATTGTCCATCCGAAAAGTGTAGAATGGGAAAAATTGCGCTCAAATCACAATTTGGTCATTCCGTCTACCTCTCACGCCTCCTGTGGAAATATGGTGGAATAAAGTATCTCAATGGAAGGGTTTTTATTAGGAAATCTGTTTTTCCCACATTAAGTTCAATACTTTCTCCCTATCCTGGCTTTTAAAAATACCTTGGAACTGACCTCCACTGCCAGTGACGATCTCCAAGCACATTTCTTAGGAGCATTGCCTAACTGATCAAGCCGTATAATTAGAGGTGGGTTGCTCGGCCAAACCGGGCTGAGCTGGTAGCGGAATTTAGGACTGGGTTGCAGAACCGGCAGTGACCCAGTCCTGCCACGCCTCCAAACCGGTTCCTTTGCCACCGCTGGGCTGCCGCCATGTTGTTTTCTAGTGGCTGCACATGCACAGTTCACTGTAAATTGTTCTGCGCATGGGCAAAGAACCATTTACATTGAACAGCGCATATGTGCGCAGCACGCATCTAGTGCGCCCGGGGATTGCAAACCGGTAGTAAAATCAGCAGCAACCCATCCCTGCATATAAGAACCTAAGTAAAAGCTATTATGATTCTATCATCTGTCTGTCTGTCTGTCTGTCTGTCTGTCTGTTTGTCTGTCTCTATCTATCTATCTATCAATCTATCTATCTATCTATCTATCTATTTATGTCTGTCTGTCTGTCTGTCTATCTATCTATCTATCTATCATTATCTCTCTCTCTCTCTCTCTCTCTCTCTGTCTCTATCTATCTATCTATCTATCTATCTATCTATCTATCACTATATCTATATGTCTCTCTGTCTGTCTGTCTATATCTATATCTATATGTCTGTCTGTCTGTCTGTCTCTGTCTGTATCTATCTATCTATCTATCTACCTACCTACCTACCTACCTACCTACCTACCTACCTACCTATCTATCTATCTACCTATCTCTCTCTATATATATATGTCTGTCTGTCTGTCTGTCTGTCTGTCTGTCTGTCTGTCTGTCTGTCTGTCTGTCTATCTATCTATCTATCTATCTCTATATCTCTATATCTATGTCTGTCTGTCTGTCTGTCTGTCTCTATCTATCTATCTATCTATCTATCTATCTATC